TCTCTTGCACTGTCTTTCGCTCGCGGGTGAGGGGACAAGAGGGGAGAAGCCGCAGGGAGAGCATGAAAAGCGGAAACGAAGAAATAACGAAACAGCGGCACAAGAATGTGTCCGCGGGCTGCTCTTGAAATCTCTCATCGCGGCGAACGGAGAGAATCGCAGGGTGAATACCTGCAAGGGGCGACCGTAGCAACGATAATTACTATCTACTAAAGCTATTAAGCTTATGCTGATACATCGACATGCAATTAGTTCGTTAATAAGACTCTCGTTCTAAATCGCGGGCTATAATGTACCACTAGGTGTTAATAACCTAATTCAAAAATATTATAGTCTTCGTTAGCTTAGTCAAAAAGTTAATATCCATCAACATCGAACTACCAATGTCAAGGCTCTTTATCTAGAAATCGCGTAAATGTTCTTTTTTTTCGTTTTCTTTTTACCTAGACAATTTCTCCCATTACGTTTGCAAATATAAGTTAATCGCTTACGGGGCATTCCTCGTTCTCGTTGGCAATCCTCAAAAATCGCTGCGTGACACCCGTGCGACTGGGGATGACACCCGCCGCTGTTCTTCATACCAAAATATGTTTTTCCTTTCTTTCCCATGTTCGCGATCTACACGCCAGCTGGAGGAAAATCGCCCCACGCATACTCGGGGAAAAAAGTCCGTATACATATATGCAATAGTACTCTGAATAAAAGGAACTCTCTTGAAGAATCGCGTACAGCATCGAGGGAGCGATTGCTCAATCTCAGGATGTATTCACATGCACGTAAACACGTATATACATATATACGTAGGTATATGCATGTGAAATAACATCCGGTTACATCTCCTTTAGTCTATAAAATTCATCTCGTTCCCGTCCCTTCTCTTTTTTATACTTTCTCTTTCTCAATATATCACTTTTCCTAATTTTTTTTTTAATTTACACGACTTCTCGTTATGTACGAGAATCGTCATGTACCAACAAGAAAAACAACCTACACGTCAAAGTCAAAGCGTTTCTGCAGAGAAATCCAGTAGCACTGTCGCAATTATCTCACAGCACTCTTTATTCTTATGTTATTATCACTAAAGTGTTGATCAAATGATATACAAGGAGACTGTTCGTCTCCATTTAAATATTGCTGTGCCATAGTTAACTTAAAATAAACATTGGAAAAATATGCACTAAATGAAATGCAATATGTAATTGTGAAAAAAATAAAAAGAACAAAGTATAAATAAGAGAATCAATTTTTTCCTTGAAGTTTTCATCAAACATTTTAATATAAATTTATATTAAGTCACAATAAAGATACAGCACATAAATAATATCATATTAATTATTTATTTTAGGGAATTTTATAATTTCTATAAAAAAATTTTTAAAACAGCATATATTAAATATTACTTTTATTATTAATTATTTTGTTGTAAATATTTTTCATTTACCTCATAATGTCGATATTACTTTATTGCTCGTTTGTATTTATTGTATATTTATTGACACACTAAATATTTTTTCATTATCAATTTTTAAATTTTTAATAAATTTTTTTTAATTAAACGAAAACTCGACAAAATTTTATTTAAGCAATATTAAAATTCTAATGATTAATGCTGTCTTATTTTTTATCTTTTACATTTCTCGATTTTTTCCTAAAAATCAACCATTAGTTTAATACATCAGATGAAACATTTAGAAAAATTTTAAATTCTATTTTATATTCCTTTACTATAACATTTCATTCAAATATCGCTATTTGTTATCAAACAAAAAAGAAAAAGAATATATTTGTATACAGAAATCAATTTGTTTTCCTCGATTTCTTCTATAAACATCATATTTATTATTTTGGAAGATTATACGTCGGAATAAATGTTTAAAAAAGATATTATTTCGTTCTTATCAAAGATTTTTTCCAAATATTGCATAATATTGATCGAATTTACGAATAATATCTCCATAAGTCTTGTCAGGATTTCGTGCAGGTAATTTCAGGCATGCAGCTGACACAATTATCGATGGACAATCCGATTAAGCGGATTAATCGCTTAAACGTTAACAAACGCTCGCGTTTCGTTTGAATAATCGCGATTATCGCGACCATAAGTTGGTGCGCTGACTGGTTTCTCTGCAGAGTAAAAACACTTCATCGTTCTATTTCCTCTCTATCTTTCCCTCCAATCTCTAACCTTCTTTCTTTCTCGCCCTCCTTCCCATTTTCATTTCCTGTTCCTAGCAGAGTCAAAAATGCGTAGCGCGCAAAAAGCTAGGTAGGTACACACGAGCATATCCGGCCAACGAACGATAGAACGCATGAGAACAGAATCGATCATTTATTATTTTTGGTTTGCAAGAATAAAAATTGCAAAAAGAGACATGTTTGAAAAACTGTCCCGATTTCATAATGACCGCAACAATTTTCGTTAATTCTCAACTAGTTGCCTGCAGAAATGTGTGTGGTTGCGATACTTATTTTTATAACGGCACAGAACTCCAATTAAGAATTAACGTCCAGACAATGTGTGGACAAATCTCTATCTCCGAGTAATCGCGTTTCTCATGCGATCCAGCAGACAAACGTTGGCCATGCGAAGCAGCATTCTGTTATTATATATAGATATATAAGCGGCAGCGTACATAAATCTCCCGCCGCGAATTCCATGCCGTTGCGCAAGGTAATGCGTTTTCCGTCGGTTTCCTCTCGAAGTCGTAAAGTCACGTGAGGTTTATCGACGCCAAACGACGCTCGGACGCGACGTCAGGAAACTCGTGCGGGCGAACTTTTTACTTGATTATAAATAATTGTTTTGCTTTGTGATTGCTTGCTGCAGCAGCTAAAACCCTTGACTCAAGTTGGGAAGCTCAAACTCCAGTGGATTCGTCACAGCGTTTTCACCGTGTTTTCATTGTCTTTTTATCTTTTCATTGTTTTTAGTTATCGCTTTTTAGAATGGCTCTCGTGGTATTTGCGACCGTAAGTCGGAGTAGCGCTTCGATCCTTCTTTCGCTTTTTTTTTTGTCCGTCGTTTCTTTTTTCTCATTTTGTGTTCGTATAATTATATTATTAATTATAATATTCGTTCATATATCGTGTATTTACTAGAGATTTTGGTATTAAAGGGAAAGACGGGTAGTACTGTCCGACGTTAATTTCGCGCTCTCTTAGATGCGTTGTCTGTATGTGACCGTTTCGTTTACCTAAAACTAATTCATCGTTTAGCGATTAGAGAGAAAAATCCGTTCGAAAATAAGCCGAAGGCATCCCGGTCGTTTCTCTTGTTCTCGAGCGCGTCGGGATCAGGGCATACCTGAGCTTTAACGAACCGTACCATCGCGAGACGACACGAAAGGAGGAGTTATCGATAACTTCTCGAAGGACTTTGCTCGTCTAAACAGGCTGAGCGGCTGGCAGCGAGTGGGACGAATCTGAATATCGTTCCTGCTCTTGGTGTCTCTCCGTACGAAGACATAGTAAACGGATCTAATTGCAATTTACCGATACCAAAGATGAAGAAATATCCCGAAGACGAGGAGTGCAGACTCCGGGTCTCTAAGAGAAAGTATCGAGTATACTCTAAGTGGAATCACAATTGAAAATATTTCGCTCTCCTCTTCGTGGTGTCATTGAATCACTTAAATGGACATTCATAGATTATTGTACTTAATTTTATATAATATAACGTATGTATCTCTCTTTCTTTTTCTTCCTATGCGTATCTAATTAAATCTATATACATACTAAGAGTATGGGCACGGAGGAACTCGCTCCTATATCTTTCCGTATTCGTTTCGATGAATTTACATGTATATCCCTCTTGAATTACGTTTGTAGCCATCTATCACATACTCAATGATACTTCAAAGACGAAAAAGTAAATAAAAAATTACAAACTTATCGAATTATGACGAATATTAAGAAGCGACAATATCAAGGGATGACGATATTAATAAATGATTTCGAACACATGACTAGAATCACAGTGTCGAGAGAGAAGTATATTAATGAAAGGAAGAAAACGCGTTTGAAAGATTAATATTAAAATTTGAACGATTCGTCGCAAAGGAGTACATGTAAGTTATAAAACGGATTACTGTTACACGCGTCTAAAACACGCTCTTTCCGATCGTCCATAGATTTGTTTAACAAACAAATTTGAAAACCGATGACGTTCCTAGAATCCTCAGTACTTTTATTCTGTCTACTCTAAAACCTCGAGAGTTATTTCTCACGCATTAATACTATTTTATGTACACGAGTAATTTACAAAGTTGAACTTCCAACTATATTCACCAGCCTCGGATCTTTCCCTTCTAATACCAAAGGTGTATAATCTGTTTTTTCCTTTTGCTTTGATAAGAGTGTCCTTTGATTCTTAAATGCTGTACAGGAACATTTTTTTTTTTACTTGCTTAACTCTTTAATCACTCGTTTAATTTTATTTTTATTTATTATTTTATATCCGTAGGCTTATACTTATTTTGTCGTTAGAGTACTTTGTTATATTCCTAAATTTCGTTTAAATAATTATACTATCATCAATGTGATCGATTAAACAATTAAACGATTAATGCATTAACTAAGTTTAAAAAAAAAAGAATATAATATTATCTAACAGTACAAAAAGGGAAGTTGTGAAGGATCCTGTCCCATCATCATGACTAGTTCAAAAGTGCATTTTTCATTTCGCAATATATTTCGGTATGAATATTCGATAGATCATATCGTGTCGTTGGTCGGGAAAGTTGGTGTAAGCCTCTCCTGGACGGTAAAATGTCTTTCAAGCATTGCCACGTATTTGTAAGTGTTAGCATATGTAATGAAATTTTCAAAGTCTTAGACTGATAGCATACTTTATGAAATTAAACTCTGAGAGTGACTCTCCAGAGCAAATTCTATCGAGTGAGCAATCAGCCCACGAGATATTTTCAAGGAAATTAGATCCGCAAGCGTGCCTTAACATTAATATTTTCGACGTATGTATACCTTGTAAAAAAATATTGTTCGGAATATTTGTTTTTTTTTTTTTTTCTGGACGCGAGAATGTATCGTTTAAATTTTTAACTGTGGAAAGAAATGAGATTCGCAAACGCGAATATATATATGTATATATGCAAAGTGCACGCGTAATCGTAGAGAGTTACCTTCGAAGATGCAATTAAGCGTGCACGAAAGAATTATCATGAAGAATGCATTTAATGACGAAAGACTCGATCGATGGAGGGGGGTCCTTCACGGGAAATGAATAATTATTAGATTAAAGGATATTAACGCAACAATTAAAGTAATTACGAAGGGTCGCGTATTTACGAAGACTGAAACAACGTATAAACTTATTCCCTATCGATCGTGTAAACCTATACACGCGATCCAGCGGATCGATTGTTTCATTTTTTTTTTTTTTCATTTGTCTCGAAGAGCAGATATATAAAACGATTCCTCTCGTCTCTCTCGGCAGCTTTCGTTCGCACCAAGAATATCTCTCGCGATATCTCCTCTCGCGATCGCTCTCGTCTTATACTTCCAACTCCCCCTGAAGAGAGTCTACCTTTAATTAAATATAATTTCTTATCGTATGCATATAAATTTGTCATATACATTTGTCATAGTGTAATAATTAATTAGTGTTTACCAGCCTATAGAATGTGCGATTTTCGGCGTTTGCTCGGTTCTCGCGAATCAAGTAAGACGGTCGAAAGTCAAATAGCCAGTGTAAACCTCGTTAAGGCTTCCTATTCCTCTCGCGCGAGAGAGAATTGATCGCTTCGCAGTTTCTGAAATTTCGACGTTCCATTTCCGACCATTATCTCACTCCGCTCATCTAATTGCCGCCAATCAATCCGCCGATAACTATTATGCTCCTCTTCGAGCGAAATCGTTACACCCTTTCGCATATGCATACATATACATATACATGTCTCTCCTCATACGTATATACACACAGGCGTTTACATTATTATCATAAAAACAAAATATAATTGAGATTTGTTATATACGAGTATAAAAAACTTCGTTATATGCGTTCGCCGCGTTATATCATATCTCGTGTAAATTCTCTCATCATCTCGGTGATATTTTATCGTCGTTATATTTTGTATTATATACGTTTCTCTTCTTCTTCTTCTTCTTCAAAATCAGTGTTCATCGGTCATTTGTTTCATCGCGTTGATTCGCGGCCCCTAGCTAATCTACTTATGTGTGATAAGGTTACGATTTCTTTCTTACGCCGAAACCTGGCGTAAATATATAATAGAATTATATATATAATATTAATACGCCTTTATAGAACAATATTTCGAGACAAACTCTCTTCGGATTTTCTAACGAGCATGTCTTGCATTGCGCGAACGTGCATCACACGTCACAGCGAAAGAAGACACTGAGTGCATGTCAGAAATTGGGAAAAGGAAGAAAATCGTAAGAGAGTGCGAAGTTCTCACAAACATAGAAAATATCAAATCTATTATAAATGTCAATCGTAATCTTTAAAACATAATTTACGCAATTATTTCTTTCTATGATGAAAAAGAGATGAAGAAAGATCCTGTACAATACAGGACATTCCAACAATGTTGCATCAACGTTCCAGTAATATTGTAATAACATTGCTAACGTTGCAGTAATGTTGCATGCTGCTGTATAAGACAAGTGTCTTATATAGTATTTTATATATGACTCTTCCTTGTTTCTTCTACTTTTCGATCATAGGACAAAAATAATTGTACTCAAAATATCGATGTCATAAAAGCAAGATTTCAGAATCGAAAATAAAACTTATTTCTTCAGCTTTTTTGCTGCCCTCGAAAAAATTATTATTCATCGATTATTAATTAAGACCGAGAAAGAAGCTGGTGCGACTTCGCTACGTCAATGAGAAGTCATAGAAACTTAAACGATACTGAACCGCGGGTCATTGTTCGCTAACTCGCTCGCTCGCGAGAAGAATGGATCCCGATGTATTCAAGTTTCATGTTTACCCGATGGGACAAAACGTTGTCATTGTTTTCCCGTTGTCGATGCTTTACACTCGTTCCGAAAGAACCCAGCCTCACGAGCGAGTTAACGAAAAAAAAAGAAAAAAAAAAAAAGAGTATTGTGAAAGTTGAAATACTGCTCCGGTTTTAGGGGAGTTATTCCGAACCGTTTCGAGTTTATTTACCCTTACGCGATGCATGGGAAGCCAAATATAAATCGAAAGGAAAAAAAGACGATATTAAGGAAGACTTTGCTCACTAGCTCGCTGCGATTGTAACGAATACTTCGACGATACAATCTTCACGACGACGCGACGCAACGCAACGATTCACCGGATTGCTCGGTCTTTCAACTTCCACGATCCAATCACCCAAAATTCTTTCTCGGTTTCAGTCTTCTCTTTCGGCAACAACGTCTCTTACATGTGCAAGAACTTTCGGGCTTATACGCGTTTCCTTCCTTCCCCGTTCCGACTTCATGCCGACGGAAACCTCTCTTCGGCAACGTTTTCCTACTCTTATTCTTCCTACCGCGCGCTATTTCCCCTCTGTCACCTGAACGTGCGTTCGCACATTCGTGCGTGTGCATTATAAGCATGTACATCGGAAAGGAATGTCGCGGAGGAATATCGACGTGCTGTTGAAGCTAAATCGAATCGACGACAAGAACGACGATGTTCGGTGTGCCTCCATTTCTTCTCATACGCTTTGTTCGCCGGTGTCGCTACTGATGCCGCCTCGATGCACAATAATCCCGACATGTACGGAGATGCGTGTTCGCGCAAACTTATCGAGTCTTCTTCCTCGTTTCCTCTTGCGGTCCCAGCGTTAGCCGCTGGCAAAAGTAACCCTAAGGCGAGGCAGACGATGCGATCGCCATCAGAGGCGCCGGCGGCAACGCGACCGGTATGTGGTAATATTTACACTGAGGTCGCATGCACGCGCCCTTCACTGCGTCCCTGCACACCGTTACACGGTTGTCAATCACCTCCACGTTTCCTGAAAATTCATTACAAAATCAGGTCAGTCGATTGTTCACACATATCAGTAATTGTAAATATATCGTCAGTATTGGAAACAATTCGATCGCTTCTTTCGAGACTACAATGTCGAAAATAATGTTCCATATGGAAAAATCAGTTTTATTATATACAATATCTAAAAATAATTTTGTCAGACTATTATAATAATTATTTAGGACACTCAAGCTGATTACTAGAATCAAAACTTTTTGCATCGTTGCTCATCACACTGAAGTTTTTATTTACATAATTATTTTGATGGTCCAACAAAATTATTTTTCAGGTCTGTATCTATTTAAATTTTTAGATACTTCAGCAAAAATTGTTCTTTTCATGCAAAATCGAGATATTAATAGTTTTTGGGCTAGAAATGTAAAAATTAAAATATGTTCGCCAATTAAATACAGCTGCGAAAACTACATCTAATTGTGGGCTTTAAAGCATCCTGTTTAAAATACAAAATGTATAAAGTACAAAAACCTTTACAAAATTTAGCACAGCTAAACAAAAAAGTTTGAAAGTTAAACTTTTTAAATTTTTTTATCTATGATTTAGAAATTCATAATACTAATCGTACAGAATGTACAATTATTCAAAAATTTTCACTTTGGGTCCAAATGAATCGTTGCCGTCAAGAAGGTTAAATTTATGAAACTAATAAAAAAGCTTTATCGTTCAAATTATAACAATTATTTTAACAGAATTATTATTTAAAGTATATTATATAAATTTAAATATATTTAAACGTATAAATGCAATGAGCACAAAAAGATGCGATCTCATACAAAACTGACTCTTTTGATTCGTGTAACGGTACAAATTATTTAATATCCAGAGGAAGACTTTAAAGAAACTTGACATTGATTGCAATATTCATAGAGTGAAATGCATAAATATTCTCAATCAATTCAACGACATCAAAGGAATTGATGCAAATTTGCTGCGATAGGAATATACACTCGTTATTCAAGTGTATATTGTTTGCAATTGATTGTGCAAAAAATATCGCTAATTGTTTGGAGAACTGACGAGAAGCGCTTTCTCGTTCGCATCTTGAGTAACATTACTTGCTCATTATCGCGAATAGAATCTAATTGACACGGAGCAGCTTGACAAAGAGGGAGAGTCTCATTACATTCGCAAAGATCATTCGCATGCTAAATGTGAAAGCAAGACATGCTGTAACGATGACTTGTAATAGTACGAATAATAATGAAGGCACCGATCGACACCGCGAACGACGTCGCAGAACGGAAGTAAAATAAAAACGTGGAACGACAATCGGACTCTTCCAACCGATAAAATTGCGAATGATTTATTGTACGTAATTGCGACGCGTCTCGCACGCAGAGAGAATTGACAAGTTCGCGTAGAATCGATCGGTGAACGAAAGACAAGGCCATAATCGCCAGTGGCCGCTGCTTGCGGGGAATAGTTCCGTCGTGCAGGAATTTCAATAGTCGAATTTCTGCCGTCGCTCGAGACGCTTACTTTACCGAAACTGCCGATTTTACCGGAAATCTCGTTACTGAAATCAATCCGTGTGACCAAAGAGAAATTTGAAAATCGCCAAAGCGCTCAATGAATATCAATTAAACGAGTTAAATGTTCTTCGAGATATTGGCTTGTATTCCCATTGCGCATTTAGCAGTAAACGTAG